AGCCTTAAACATGGTTACAATCGCCCAGACCAAATGGAAACCTGATTTTAGTGTTATATATAAAAATACTCCTCTTTTAATTATAATTTTCTGCTAATATATATTTTTGGTCGACGTTAATATCTTGCCAGTTAGTTCCATATTCTTATTTAATAATTAACACTATAACGCCTACCCTGGATTCCAGAGCCTTCGACAGCAAATAATAAATTGAAACGTCGCGAAGGCTCTGGTTGTTGGGGAGATTCTTTGATTAAACCGCGCCAATCACAAAACAGAATTAGTGGTTTTAGTACAGATTCTGTACTAAAACCACTAATTCTGTTTTGTGATTGGCGCGGTTTAATCAAAGAATCTCCCCAACAACCAGAGCCTTCGCGACGTTTCAATTTATTAATTACTGTCGAAATCCTGAGCGGGGCCTATTTTGTGGGCGGGCGAGGACGCTAACCAACTATTTTTTTTATGTGGCCTTACGTTTACCTAATTAAATACTTAGCCTACACGGCTAAAAATGATCAGGTTGTTGCAATATTGATGAAAACAGGATTGAACAATGTTTTGCTGCCCACATTGTTCACAGTTGTCAACAATATTGAACAATATTGTTACACCCGATTCAAGCTCAACAATATTGTTCAATATTGTTGACAAGTGTGAACAATGTGGGACGCACAACATTGTTCAATCCTGTTAAACAGCAGGCTCATAATTTTTACGCGTGTAGACTAAGTAATATCAGCGTCCCTGCATGCAACTTGCTTACAACTTAAATTGTACTGTGTAAATCAAGCATACAACTCGCCTACGACAACGTACGGACCACCTTAAATGGAAAATGAAAAAGATTTTTTATTTTGACCAATAAATGTGACACTAAGCTTTAACACGAAAACGAGGCTGAGGGGCCATGGCCCTTTTGGGCTCATCAGCCTCGTTTTCGTGTTAAAGCTTATTCCCTCATTTATTGATCAAAATAATAAATTTTTTATCATGCATGTATTAAAGAAGGATGTTCTGCTTCTTTGCGCATAGCCAGTGAGAAAAAAACTTGAACTCCATTCCATTTAAGCGTGATTTAAGGTGGTCCTAAGTTGAAAACAATGTAGTTGTTATAATGTTGTCTATAACATTGTTATCTATGCTTTCTTTAATAATCTCTAACAGAACATAATCTTACAGTGCATCTATATCGCCATCTTGCTTACTTCCTCGTGGTCCATAATTAATGTTAATTATGTTAATTATGCTAGACACTACATCCCTCCTTTTCTCAGAGTTTTTCACAATTACAGTTCGTTGTTAATCATCTACCACTATATCTATGTGTTGGTATTTAACAAAACAGAATATGAATGCTAAGACAAATTGTTGATTGTCCAACAAGTTATATGACTGTCACTGTCAGCCCTTTCTATTTACAATAAGGCTTAATGATAATAGTTCGGCCTTCTTCGTTCTCTCCTTGGATATTGTCGTTCTAGATTTTGTTGTTCATCTCGGTTGTGATTGTTGTTATTTTCATTGTCTCCAATATCACGTTGTTCTTCATGTTCATCACTATCTTCCATTTCCTCCTCATCTTCAGAAGACAGCCCAGTTGTTTTAATAGGTTTGAAAAACGATTGGTTTCTAGTAATAGCGAATCCTGGTCTTTCTGCAGTAATCATCGTTCCTTTTACTGTGATTATTCGTAGCGGTTTGGGATCAAAATTCGGGGTAAATTTGTTGTGCTTTTGTTGTCTTACGAGTACATAATCACCAATATTCATGGTTGTCGTCTTACTTTGTCTCCGTCGATCTGCGTATTCTTTCATGCGTTGTCGTTGTTCTTTATCGCGTTGTTCGACGGAATGATCAAGGGCATTCTTGTCGGTTTTAGTGTCAGTCTGAGGTAATCTTGTGCGGGTGTTCCTACCAAACATGAGTGTGGCCGGTGCAACTTGAGTTGTGGTATGGGGAGTAGCTCTGTAATTTAATAAGAATTCCTGCATGGTGCGGCGCCAGTTTTGCTTTTGCAGATGAGCAGTACGAATGGCTTTCATCAGTGGTTTCATGAAAGTTTCGCTTTCATTTGCTTGTGGCCATAATGGAGTGATTGTTTTGTGTTGAATGCCATTGTCATCCATGAATTTCTTTATTTCTTTGCTCTGAAACGGTGGACCATTGTCCGAGATAACTTTTTTTGGTAATCCAAATGTGGCAAAGATCTCGTCTAAACATGGAATTAGGTGAGGAGCATCCGTTTTCTTCATAATTTTTGTTACCGGATATCGGGAGCGTCCATCTATTAGGACAAAGAGTGTTTCTCCACTTGGTAACGGACCCAAAAAGTCAATGTATACAGTGTCAAAGTTCTCCTTGGGTATTTCGCGCATTAACAGAGGTTGTGGTGGTTTTGGACGTCCAGTGGCTTGGCATGGTATACAGCTGTCGATAGCAGATTTGACAAGTGAATCAATTAAGGGGAACCAAACTTTTTCTCGCATTAGGCTCTTCGTTTTAACTATGCCTTGGTGGCCAACATGGGCTAAACGTATGGCATCTGCTCGCAAGCTTTTTGGAATAACAATGCGTGTGTCTCGTAAAATGATGTTCTTATCATTAGATACAGTTAATTCATCTTTGATATTACGGAGTAACTTTAGTTCACGAATATCAATGTCTGTGTCTTTGGAAAATGTTGTGGTGTCTAACGTATGCCATAAGTTTTTCTGTATTATGTGTGCAGCATGTTGCAAAGTTGGGTCATTTTGTGTTGCTTCTCTGATTTGTTGAAGGGTCATTGCTTTTGGGGTTGTTGATTCCGCAATGAACTGAATATAATATTCAGAGTTTTCACTGTCTTGTGATGTCATTGAGGTCGTATTCATTGGGTGTCTTGACATGTAATCGGATGGGTTATCGTGGCCAGGGCGATAGTGAATTTGGAAATTGTACGACTGTAGGCGTAAACGCCAGCGTTCTAGTCGTGCAGGGCAATGTGAATTTGGATTCTGAAAAATCGATACTAATGGTTTATGGTCTGTATAGATTGTGAAATGAATTCCATAGAGAAATAAACGAAAATGTTCGCAGCCAAAAACAATTGCCAATGCCTCGCGTTCTGTCTGACTATATCTTTGTTCTACTTCTGTAAGAGCACGACTGCCATATGCAACGACAGTTTCGTCATTTTGGCTGGGGGTATTTTGTATTAATATTGCCGCTAGACCAGTGGGAGAGGCATCTACAATGAGCTTGGTGTCTTTTGAAGGGTCAAAATATGATAAAGTGGTTTTTTCGTTCAATCTTTCTTGTAATGTATCAAACGCACGTTGTTGTGATTCTTTCCATTCGTATTTTATGTCCTTCTTTGTAAGTTTACGTAATGGGGCAGTCAGTGTTGCAAGATCTTGAATAAATCTGCCGCAATATGTTATCATTCCTAAATAGCTACGAAGTTCAGAAACATTCGCTGGAGGTTTTAGAGACTTGATCGCTTCGATCTTTTTAGGACATGGGGATATACCCTGCTTTGAGAAAACATGACCATAAAACGTGATGCTTGGTTTATCAAATTCACATTTGTCACCGTTGAATCTTAAATTCTTTTCATTAGCACGCTGTAGAACAGATTCTAATGTCATGTCATGTTCATGTTGTGTTTTGGCAAAAACTAGTATGTCGTCGCTTATGTTTATACAACCGTCAATATCTTGGAATGTGGTCTGAATGACATTTTGAAATATCTCAGCAGCACTATTTGTGCCAAAGTTCAAACGTTTATATCTTTTGAGACCTTCATGAGTTGCAAATGTAGTTATGTCACGCGAATGGCTTTATTGGGTATACGCATGTCAACACAAAGACGAATTTGGTCGGGATTGTTGGGTTTTGGGAAACAAACAATGGGAGATACCCACGACGTGGGGCCTGTTACACTTTCAATAATATCTAATGATTCAAGACGTCGCAGTTCTTCTGATAGTTTGGTTCTCATTGTAAATGGGATTCTGCGGGCTTTTTGAATTGTGGGTTGGACAGTTTTATCAATGTGTAAATGGACTTTGTAATCTGGGACTTTTCCGATTCCTTGGAATAAATTATCATATTTCGAAAATAAGGTTCTCAATCTTTTAGGTCTAGACTTGCTATTTGTTGGAGCATTTTCTTACAGTTCGAACATTGATGAGCAAGACTATATATGCTTGCAGCCCTGATTTTTACTTTTACTATGTTGATTAAAAATGCAAAATTTCAAGTTCACTTTCCACAAAAATAAACTACACTATAAAAAGTTCGCAAAAATATATATATACCGGGTGGCCCAAAATAAAGTACTCCTGTTTGATTCGTAATAACATCTAAACAAGTATAGCTTTTAAAGAGAAATAACTTGCATCAAATAGAGGAAGGACTAACTTAGACTTTGATATATTACAGTTGTATTTCACTTAAAAATTCACGGAGATATTAATCTTTAAATTCGGGAGGATATTTCTGGATGTGTCTGAAATATGCAAAAATCGGCGTATCAAATATTAATCAAGATTTGCCTGACTGAAACATGCACTATTACCAGTAAATAAATGACACTTGACAAATTGTTTATTATGAAACAAAGTATTATTATATCTACAAAATACAAGCAAGATTCATTCGTCCGAAATTTACATACATATATATATATACATACATATACATACATATATATACATACATATATATATACATACATATACATATACATACATATACATATACATATACATATATATACATATACATATATATACATATATATATATACATATATATATATACATATATATATATATACATATATATACATACATATATATACATACATATATATACATACATATACATACATACATATACATACATATATATACATACATATACATACATACATACATATATATACATACATACATATACATACATATACATACATATACATATATATACATACATATACATACATATACATACATATACATACATATACATACATACACATACATACACATACATACACATACATACACATACATACATATACATACATATACACACATATACATACATATACACACATATACACACATATACACACATATACACACATATACACACATATACACACATATACACACATATACACATATATACATATATACATATATACATATATACATATATACATATATACATACATACATACATACATATATACATACATATACATATATACATACAT